CTAGCAATTTTATTATAGGTAATTGCAAGTTTGTTCAAAATATAATAATCACAAAAGTGTTCCTGTTCCAGAGCAGGCATGGCTGGGATTGAGGGTGGTAAAAGGTGCAGTGCTTCTTTATAAGCCTGTGGGGTACAGCCTGTAGTTAGCACACACAAACCCTTAAACTCTATTCTGTCTGAGCCCACCATTCTGTTTATGCCCACAGCTGGTCTCCAAGATACTAGGTGCGTATGTGGAAAGAAAGCCATGTCAGTAAAATGCCACTCAATATGATGGCGAGATCCCACCCATACACAGGTCATAAATATGGAGGCGAGATTTTGTGCATGCGCAATAGTGACCCATCTTTACTGTCACTACCGAGCATGTATGGACTCTCACTGCCATATTTTTGGCACGAAGATCCTTCATATCCACGGTAGGGGCAGAAACAACTACGCATGCACAGGATCTTGCCGCCATATTGATGGCAGCCTTGTGGGAGAGAAACTCTGCCCCATGTTTCCACCCTTTAGTTTGTAATGGGCATGCATGGGGATATTGTAGCACAGTACTGGGGATATGTTTTTGCCAACCTAATATTACCAACACATGGGCAAAGTGATTTCAGCGCCATCTTCATGCCAAATAACCATTCACCATATTGCTAGAGAACCCATGGAATCTTTATGCCATCTTGGAGAATAGCAGGTGGGAAAGTTATTCTTTAATATATTTCCCTTTCCAAATACAAACTTTATGTCGATTTGTATGCCAACTAAACAAACATTATTTATCTCTAACCAACAAAACTAATGCTTATTATTATCATGAGCATTCAATCTGAATTTCAACATGAAACTAAAAAACTCCATTTTACTACCTGTCTTGTTCTTTTAATATAATTAAAGGATTTAGGAGCTAGCCAAACTTATAGTCATAGCTAGGTGCCAATAGGCAACTTTAAATTGATTTAATAATAGGGCTGGTACTGATTAAAATTTTCGTGTTCGATTAATCGAAATTTTGTTTAATCGATTAATTTTGATTAATTATAACGCACATACAGATCCAACTACATTGGCCTATACACATACGACACAGCAATAAAGTAATAAAATGAACTAGGATCACACTAATCCAGCACATTATTAATCTCACGTGGCCCACTCAATATGGCCGCCGCTTGAGTGGAGCAACTCAGAATAATAACGTGCTGGATTACTGTGATCCTACTTCATTTTATTACTTCATTGCTGTGCTGTATATGTATAGGGCAATGCCTTGGCTGGCGCTCGTGCAGAAAGTTTAAAAAAAAATGTAAAATCGATCAAAAAATTTGTAATCGATCAAAAAGATTAACGATTAATCGAGAAATTAATCGTTAATTTGCACAGCCCTATTTAATAACATATGCTTCTGTTAACAACCAAAAAAAAATAATTACAGATACAAGCTGCAATTTTGGAGGTGCACTGTTTACCTAGATCTTAAGATTCGTCCAGCTATGCGATACATGCTGATGCATATGTAATGTGGCCAATTCACCAATGATACTGATAAACAAAATATATCTTTACTTAGTTCTATTACACAAACAGAAGATTCTACAACTATAATCTGGGTAATACCCACAGACCTGAATATGACTAACATGTTACTCTTATAAATACAGGACTCTACGTCTCCCTCTAGTGGCAAATCTAATGAATTGGCTCCACAATTAAATAGGCTTTCAAACACAGAGCCATTTTTCCTCTAATGCAATGCAACAAAATAGGAAACATGCCAAGGGGGTGAATACGTTTGCAAGCCACTGTATGCTACTGCCATGACTGAGTAACTTACAGTGGTTACTGCATATTTGTAAATATTTACTGTGACTTTAAGAACAAGCAGTTCAGTAAAGTGTGTCATTGTTTTTACTAAAGAAATTGTGTTATGTCCCCAAAAGGATTTGATTACATAGGAGTTGATATTATCAAGACCTAAAGTAGATATGGAAATCACATTTGTCTGTAAAGACTAAAGTTTTTGTGTTGTTTAATGTGAACCATAAATGGAGACATAACATTAAAGCTGAACTACCACTTTACCTCGGTCTTGCACAGATTCCTTTCCTGTACTGAAATTGCTTCCTTTGATTTTACTGTACACCGTCAGCTTCTCATAATGTAGATGACACTCAGAAAGAGTTTTTATAGGCAAGATCACATACAGTTCAGTATTAAGGAACGTAGAGCTCAGTAGTAAGGAGCGCACTGTTCAGTAGTGAAAGACACAGAGCGTGGTAGTAAAGAACGCAAAGCATGGTAGTAAAGACGCAGCACACGGTAGTAAAGAACACAGCGCATGGTGGTAAAGAACACAGAGTACGGTAGTAAAAATCGCACAGTTTGGTAGTAAAAAAAACCGCAGAGCACAGTATTAAAGAACATAGAACATGGTAGTAAAGAACGCAGCGCATGGTAGTAAAGAACGTAGCGCATGTTATCACAGAAAGAAAAGCACGGTACTAAAGAATGCAGCGCGTGGTAATAAACAACGCAGAGCATGGTAGTAAAGAACGCAGAGCACGGTACTAAAGAATGCAGAGCACGGTAGTAAAGCGATCAGAGTATGGTACTAAAGAACGCAGAGCACGGTAGTAAAGAAATCAGAGCATGGTACTAAAGAACGCAGAGCACGGTACTAAAGAACGCAGAGCACGGTACTAAAGAACGCAGAGCACGGTACTAAAGAACGCAGAGCACGGTACTAAAGAACGCAGAGCATGGTACTAAAGAACGCAGAGCACGGTACTAAAGAAATCAGAGCACGGTAGTCAAGAACGCGGAGCACAGTAACAAACGTGTCCGGTCGATGCAACCCCGGTAGTTCCACCCGTGCGTCAGTCTGCATGTATTGCATCGAGAAGCACAGAAATTCAGTGATGACATCACTGAAACTAAAATAATGTATGTAATGGAAATGTTTTATTTTTAAAATGTCATTAGCATGTGGGAGTAAGGATGAACCAGGGAAGGCGAAATATGAAAAGATTAAACTTCAGCTTTAAAATACAAAATTTTCCCTAATCTAATAACAATAATAAGAAGAAGAATGTTTGAGAAAGTTAAGACAAATGTAGAAAATTACTATACTGAGTCATGCTATGCAAAACCATTGTTTCAGTTGCTGGTGGTTGGACTCTTTAATGGGTTTTTAGCTCCAGCATTAAGCTAATCTAACTAAAAGTAGCTCTACAAATTCCTCCAAAAAGAAAACAATCCCACCAATCCAAGCATCACATGCAATGACTGGGTGATTACGGGGTTATGAAGTGGTTACCTGGTGAAATTGTTTTATAAAAAGGCAGAGCACAGATTTGGCTACATTAGCTTCAGGAATATAGTGTAGAAGAATAGTGCAACTTGCCACAAAACCTGATACCAACCCATCTGATTCACCTCATACCACCCTCCCCTTGACATTGCACCCCTCTTCCCAATCTTCATAATTTCCATAATACACTGCCTGGCCATAATAAAAAGTCACCACCAGGATTTAGCTAAGCAAATAGGTCAGAACCTTCCATTGGATAAAAGGTCTAGGTTCACCAAGTTATGTCCACAAAGAATGAGGTCAGCTGACTACGTGAATACACTGAATGACCAGGTTTTTCCATCAATGGATTTTTTCTTCCCCGATAACACAATGGGCATATTCCGAGATGACAATACCAGGATTCATCGGGCTTAAATTGTGAAAGAGTGGTTCAGGGACTACGAGACATCATTTTCACACATGGATTGGCCACCATAGAGTCTAGACGTTAACCCCATTGAGTGTCTTTGGGATGTGCTGGAGAAGACTTGACACCGTGGTCCGACTCTCCCACCATCACTACAAATCTTGGTGAAAAATGAATGCAGCTCTGGACGGAAATAAAAGTTGTGACAATGCATAAACTTGTCGGAACAATGCCACGGCAACTGCGTGCCGTAATCAAAACTAACGGCGGTCCAACAAAATATTAGAGTGTGTGACTCTTTTTTTTTTGACCAATCAGTGTAGTTCCCCCTAGAATTGTGGCCAGCTGTTTGGTTTACTGTTTTTTCTCCTTTAACACACTAAACAATGCTATCCCATAAAAATACCACTAGAATACTCAACATCTTATAGTACGTATTTGCCCTTCCATTATTCAATTGAAGTTTAGAGTTTTCGTTCATTCTGTCCCTTTTATTCAACCGTTTATAAACAAATCATCATCTTTATTTCTATTTAGTACCTCTCTCCCCTGTAGTAATGCATACAATTAATAAAATATATTGAAAAAAGACAGAGCACAGAACATTCCTCTTTTAAGCAAAGAAGCAGTGAAGATTACTGGGTTATGTGTAGGGGTTACCTGCTGAAGAATCTGTTATAAGCCTGGACATGGACTGCTGCTTTTGCTGCAGTGCTTTCACTCTATGTGTTACTCTTTACAGCCAAGTAGAGTGAAGAAGCTGTAGGTCCTACTCTGTTAGCAATATAAGGGAGTACTAGACAACATTTAACTATTTAGCACTTTTGTTCTGACCCCTGTCCATCTGTGGCCAGCCCTAATTGTTTCCAGCAGAATTTCTGACACTTGTTTTGCCATGCTGTTACATATATGCAAGATTAGTATACATCATTGCTTTTTCCTCTGACAGGAAATGTAGCAAGGGACAACAAATGTCACACACTTTTACATATGACAAACCCATACTAGGGTTCCTTGCTTTAAGGCTCTCTTTGTGTCCTATACATTAGGTCCACTATTTGTGCATAAGATCTTTTTGTGCTAAGTTCCATTAACCACAGGTACACTGGATCTCAACAGGTTATGCAAGTAAAAAAAATTACATGTTACAGGGAATGTGCCAGTCACACTGGACTGGGAAGTAAACAAAAGTAGATCGTGCCCTACTGCCTTCCATATTGAGGCCAATCTGAGGACAGACACAAATAAAACATTTATCATGTACTTATTCTAACAGGATACATACCACTATGAAGAAAATAGTTCCCCCACTGTTCACACTGGTGATATGCCTCACACTGAGCAATCTCATTTTCATGATGAGGAAAGGCTAGATCAATCCCACCAGTGTGAATGTCAAGCTGTTTTCCAAACACAGAACTATAAGAGAAAAAGAAAATGCCACCAATATACCAATAATAATAATAACAATAATAGGTACACTAACGTATCATTCTAACAGAGATTTTACAACGATTTGGAAGCCCAAACACCATCATTATTCTTGGTAAAATAATATCCCAATGTAGTGGATTACAGAACAAATCTACTGGCTGCTTGCATGTTTAAGGTGTGTTAAAAAATACACTGTTACTTTTCCTCCATTGTGCACTGTACTCCAGTACTGCATATGCAATGTACATGTTTTCACATGTATTCAGGCCCGAAACACATTTACATATTGATTGCAATTACCCACTCCTGCTCCTTGCACATAAAACATTGATGGCAGTTTTCATGAGACTGGCCATAAGACATTCTATAGCATATTTCACTTATACTAAATGAACTGCACATCAATGTATTCATGTACCATGTACTGTATTTTACTGGATCAGTCTGTTACATGCTGTTAATGGTAAAACCCTTATTTTGTTTTTCTGTATTTGTGGTAGCCCCCTGTCAGCAAAAACTTTAAACCTTCAAATAAATGTAAAAATATTTAGAATTACTGCTAGATTAAAGGAGAACTATGAGGTGAGTGCTTTTCCCTCGCCTCATAGTTCTAGCCGACCTGTGACAATGAGACTGTCACAGGTCGGCTCAGTAGATCGGGAGGTGAGCGAACACATACCGGCGTTCGCTCACCTCTCGATCCTGTTACGGCTCTCTGCCGTGACAGGGGAGGGACTGGATTCCCCCCTCCCCACTCCGATCCGCCAGCGCTGACTGGCGGAACGGACGGGGGAGGGGGCGGGTACAGCTGGCTCTGCCTTTAGATAGGCAGAGCCGCTGTCACTCACGCAGCTGGGCGGATCCCGGAACAATTGTCGGGATCCGCTTCAGCTGCGGCGTCTCAGTATACCGCGAGCAGCTGCTCGCAATATACCGCGAGTTACAGCGGTATACTGAGCCTATGGTGACGGGAGGAAGCAAGTTTGTGTCCTCCCGTTACCCTAAGGAGAACTATGGGGAAAAGACTTAACCCCATAGTTCTCCTTTAATAGGTACAGTGCAGCTAACTAGTTAAAACTGCACCACTGTTTCTCTAATGAAGAGAATCAGATAGTATTGAGATATTCTTAACGCAGCAATAAAGTAATTAGGAGTCCTGGAGCCAAAATGTAATCCTTTCCTCTGTACACTACTCCTTCATTTGCTAAGAGCAGAAAACCCAGATCAAGACGGGCGCCTTCAGTTGTAATCCGCAGGGGATTCATGCATGGATTCCCTTCTGTTCGGAACAAATGTCATCATTCAGTTCTGTTCCAGTTGGTCTATGCGGAGTCAGATGTGAACGGACTTGTGGACCCGGATGGAGCTAGGGGTAACCGGACGCCCATAGAATAACATTGGGCTTCCAATCAGGTCCGTCTGAAAAACTGACAGGCGGACCTGATCGGGATGCTCTTGCTAAAGGGGTTTAAAGCTAGAAGTTAGTTATATCAATTAATAAAACGTTTTCTTGCATTTGCTGCATGAAACTTTTGGACATATGACATGCACTTTTCCATCAATGTACCTCGCAACTGTGGAACATTCAATGTGCCAACCAGGTCTTCCTTTGCCCCATGGAGAAACCCAGAAAGGCTCCTCAGGTTTAGCAGACTTCCACAAGGCAAAATCTCTGGCAGACATCTTGTCATTGTCAGCTGTCACAACACAAGTTGAGAAATGCAAAATAAATGATCAGAGTAATGATACTAACCACATTTAGAAGATTAATAACAAATAAAGGAAAGCTTACTATGTCAATATCAGAAGTTTCAAATGATTATATTTGTTCACAAACCATCATCATTTTGGCTCAAATAATGTCCGGTTATGGATTTGGTAAAATTTACGGAACTATCTTAATGTAACCCCATGGCCTACCCATGTAGGTCAAAGCAACAAGTTTGCTTTACGTTGCCCTCTCTAACAGCACTCATGTTTTCTTTATTTTGCTTCCCAGCCACTCAGTTCAGCCACAAGGAACACATAAAAGGAGCCCTGTGTAAACTTGGAGTCAACAAGCTAATTACTAAGCACCAGCATTAGCAACACACAGGAACGGCACATGAGTCACATGCTCCTCCTCAGCCAGAAGTACCGGATATTTTTTTTTTTTTCCTCATGATGGCTGAAAAGTGAAGGTCACAGTTCTCAGCACAGTGTTCTTCCCCTTTGACTCTACAGAAACTCTTTAAAACAAGTTACACATTCAGGGCCTAGAGAAAAGTGGCAATCGTTGCCTGGTTGTACGAGGTCGAGCGAATATTCTCTATGACCAGTCCAAGTGAATGTATAGAATTTTAAGAGCTACTGGAAGCTCAGGGTGAGAAAAACATGGTGCCAACCCCAGGCAGTATAAATGTCCCGCACATTGGAGTTAGGTGTTTCCATTGAAATTTTGACTCTGTGGAATCCATCCTATTTATATAAAAGGTGCACTTATCCCTTTAAAGTTGTGCAAATGTAAACACTTTCAGTTATACAGTCCCTAAATACTTCAAAATTCTGATTGGAGACTCCCTCTCTGGCTCCCCACACACAAAAAACAGACAGTTTTCATCAGACTGGCCATAAAATACATTCTTGAGAAGCTTTCATGTGACATTTAGAACGTTTCTGAAAATGTAGGTTGCACATACAACACTCAGTAATTGCATAGCTAGTGCGTACATCTGAACAAGGTACAACAAGCATTCTATCACATTTCATGAACACTACAAGAAGACTATAGTGTGTTAATTAATGCACTACTGACAAAATACCTGGTTCAGAGTTTATATCTGAAAAAGTACCAATAAACTTCCCATATCTTCCTCCAACCGACTGCACATCAAAGTAAACATTTCCTGTAAACACAGAAAAGTAACAAAGCATACTATTAGAAATGAAGACAATTGCTGAAATAAATCACTGCTAAACTGTGAGCCTCATTGTATTAGATTAGTAAAACCTAAGAGACTCAAAAGATTGCACCACTCCTTCACATTGCACAAGCAGGGGGAATCTAAGTGATCATAGAGTTAAGCCCAGGATTGGTTGAAACGTGTTAGAGGGGTGGGACTTTGTGTAGCTGTGTGAATTTTAATTTGAAAAGTTTCCAGCGACAGAGTGTTGCCGGATGTTTTATTGTTTTGATGGCTCCAATGGAAGATACCCTCAGCTTTGATAGGATTTCTCTGATCACCACATCAAGTGCACAGCTGCAGTGCGATACGTTTTGCCGCAATTGACTTGGTTTATGTAAGCTTAAAATAGGCTTTCAGGTGCAGTCTAGTGTGTTTGCATGTGTTTTTGATGCTTTCTGTTGCGATCAGGTGCAGCTAAAATAGGGCAAGCAGTATTTTTTCTGACTGCATCGGAACGGACTGCACTGGTATGAATAGAGAATCCAGAAATCACATTGGAAAGTATTGTGACGCGATTTTAATGCAGCTCCAACCGGAACGGACTGCATCACAACTGCATCTGATGTGAACTAGCCCTAAGTATACTGTATTTCATGAATGGCCACATATGACTTACTAAAACATTAACTAGTCACCCAGATTCATCCTGATAGCAAAGTTGTCCCTATAACTTGTGGCAGGGATGTTCTACACGTATGTGCAGCAGACCAAATGCACATTTCCCATGTGCAGCTAAATTATTTGGGGGAGTCCAGAGCTAGGGGCGGATGTGGTGCTGTAATAACCAGCAGCCGTCAAAGGGTGATGTTAGATATCGGACTGGGTAAAAAAAATAGCCAAGCCACGCCACGTCACACCACACACTGACAACAATGCAGGAAGCAGGGCCCGGTTGAAAAGAGTAGCCTTGTTCCTTCCACTTTACTGTAACACTATTCTCCATTTGTCTTGAACACTGATGTTTTGGAAATGCAATAAAACAAAATACAAAAAGAGATCTTAGCTGAGAGTTTCTGCTGATTCATGTAGCAAACGTCAGGCACAAATACTGTTCATCACATGTTGGGCAAGTTCTCTATAAACAAGGTAGAAAGGCACCTGCTATTTCGATCTCTCTTTCTATCTACTATCTATCAGCAGTTGAGATTCTACTACTAACCATATTACCGTGTCCTTTGCTCTAACGGATTTAATTCCACCAATACATTATCAGATTGACACACCATTTTACTGGAATTATTTTATTAATAACTATAATTACATTAATTTATTGCACAAGACTATATTTCTGAAAATTCCTGGAATAAAACTAATAGGTAAAAATCCTATGGGGTTCAATATACAAATACGTCCTACTTTACTTTAAAACATTAAAGCCCAATTGTACTAAAAAATCCCATCACTACCACCTCTAACTCATCCTACTTGCCTTTTTTCCCCTTACTTTGTGAAGTCAAATATACTTACCTAAGTTTCTGCTATGAGCCCCTCACCGCTGTTGGGTGTGAATCATGCAGTGTAATAGTGCCTGAGATCACCAGTCCCCTTCTCTTACTTCCACTGACACTAGTACTCTCCTGGATCCTGAGAGGACCCTGACCAATTGACATCAAACAGGAAGTGTCCACGTCATGCGGCACTGATATGGACACTCAAAGAAGGAGCCAGGCAGGAAGTAAACAAAACTCTGGGTTGCAGTGTCACATGACCGCAGTTCAAGGTAAGTAGAAAAGGGCTTTTAGATAGGGATTTTTTTTAATCTAGTGATTAGATAATGGGGCATGGGAGGAAAGAGTGGGCGGTGGGTGAAATGTATTATATAGTTGGGCTTTAACGTCTTTAATATATCAGTGCAATATGCTTGGAGACCAAAAATAAATATACGGGATCACGCTAGAGGACTACTCATTTCCACACAGGCTGTCTGGAATCACAGATGATTTTGGGGTAGGTTGGCATAGCTAAACCAATGCAGGCAGTACCCTTTTTCTCCAGTCTGTGCTATCTTTCTCCAGTTATTACATGAATGCAGTGCAGTGTCAATGAACTTCATACCCAGGTTATTCCTGGGGCTACAACAGCAGAAGAAAGTAATGCTACCCAACCAACCTGGTAATTTGGAAATGGGCAAAGCACACGTCTGCTTAAAATGAGTGGTTTAAAATTCCCAGTGACCCTTTAATGAAGCAATATTCCTCGTGCAAATGCTGTAATTGAAGGATATATTTCTAAGCATAATATACAAAACAGATCACAGTCCTGTTGAGGACATTTAACGTAATGAATGTGACTGGAAAGTATCCCAGACCGCAGCAGACTTCCTCTAAAACAAATACATTATCTGGTCATATTGCTATGAAATGTCCTTGACATAACCAAACATTTTACAAGCCACTTATTAACCAAATGTCACACCACCGCCAACCAATGCCATCTGTGCCCAGTTGTAAAAGTGACTTTAATCTTCTAATCTAACCTTAAGAACAAACTGCAAGCAGCTAGCAGTCCCAACACATATCTTCAGAGGTCTCCTTCACTGCCCCAGTTGCTCTAAATGTCAAGTCACTCTAATATATAAATAATAAAGTTAACCTCCCTGGCGGTAATCTCGAGTCTGGCTAGGGGTGAATTTTCAATGCTAGGAGCGGTAACCCCGAGCCAGACTCGGGGATGCAGAGAAAAGTGACACTCACCTGTACGCGGCCCGAAAATGAAACTAAAAGCCGGCATCTGACTTTTAGTTTTGTTTTCGTTCGTCACAGCCGGCGGGAAATTCAAAAGTGAAAAGTTGTAATGTACATAGAATACACACAATACAATGTAATCTGCTATGATTACACTTATGTATCAAACTATTGTACCGCTTTTGGTACAAAATTCCTGACATAATCATACCGCCAGAGAGGTTAATAACTGACCTGCCCTCTCTTGCACCTTCCTACTGGCCTATCACTATGATGGGCAGCCTTTTTGGCCATCAGGATGTTAGGGGATGTGGACCAGTTTTCACTGTTTTTAGGAAGTGTCAGTAGTTGCCTATCACAGTAGCCTGGGACTGAGATTCCCACAGCAGTGGAGGAGACATCTGAATGCATATGCATGTACCCCATTAGGTCTTGGTGCGAGTTTTGATACATTCCAGAGCAGGCAGTTGCACTTTCATCATATACAGTAACCACTAAAATTTTTAATAAAAGGCCTATGCTTCAACAGGATGGAGCTGTCATAAGATATCCCTCACATATTGGAAGGTACAATTTATATTATATGGTAAGTATGTTTCATGAAATCACTATTTCTTGTGAAGTACTAGGTAACTAAAACTAAATAGTATTGCTGCGCCACAAGCCTTAGCCTAGAATATATGGTAGAATATGTTGCCCTGCAGCCTTTATGAACCATGAAATGTCTGTGTCAGCATATTAAAAACTGTCAGCACATTGCTGCTTTAAAGTGGACATTCACCCATATCTTTAAAATAACAACAAGCACACCTTTAGAAATGTTTAGTAATCTACAAACACTTCTAGATAACTGCAGGATTTGTAGTCTTTGCTTACCTTATTTCTCTTTTCTTTCCGAGTCTTCTGACACTGGCCATGTTTACTAAGGGCAGGTTACTAGCTCTCCTTTTACTTCCTGGATTTCTGGCACATGTGCCTAGACATTTGACTACGACATGTGACCAGACATGTGACTAGCACATGTGACCATGCACATCATCTCAGGGGAGGAAAATGCCTTTCCCTGAGATCTTGTGAGATTACACATGAGATTTCCTAGCAATGCTCTGCTGATGACAAGGCAATCCCAGTGTGCATTGCTTTGGCAAACTGAAGTGATTTGCACTTTCAATGCAGGAAGTGAATGCTCTGCAAGTGTAAGTATGTCATAGTCACAGCATTTTACACCTGACATGTCTATGTTATTATTTATCATCATACATAGGATTTATTGGTAAAATTTGATTTTTGAGTCTAAAGGGCCGCTTTAAGTAAAACTTCCGAGCCTGTCTCCTTTCCATTATGTACAGATTGCTACAAAACATTCAGACCTTTAGACATCATTAGATGGTGCCAGCTGATATTTTTTTCTGAAAGCTTTTGTCTTGCTGATGTAGAACAAACCTGGCCAAGACCCTCATAAGTACCTGGGTGATTCTCATGCCAAGATCACTGAATTTCTAGGAGTTTAAATATATGTCTGCCAAGAATAGGCGAAATAGATAATCTCTAACGACCGCGAAGTCTACCCATCCTGCCAGTTCTAGAGAGTCATGAGATACTATATATCAAAGCACACCATCACATTGTCCACTGTCAGGAGCCAAATGTAAACCAAGGGTAACCTGCCCAATGGCAAGCGATAAGATGACACCTACCTATTCAGGAATGTTTCCATGAAATAACATGATACAGAGAATAAAGGTAAGCCAAGATAGCAGAAATCTGAGGAACCAGTAATCCAATGTACATGGATATTTGGGTACAATAGTTTGTACCCAAATACTTAAACCTTTTCTGATGCTCATTAAAGTAAACGATCCCAGTCATATGGAATAGTTATCTGTGTAAATGTGTTTAAGCCTTTTCTATGCTGTTCAACTCTTTAGCAGTCTTCTCATATACCAATAGAAATAAAATAGAGAAATGTAGTGCTTAAAGTGAATCTGTGCCCAGACTACTAAAAACACAATGACAGCAATATATAACACTGAAGATATAGCCAAAATGTGTTGATTTCTCCAGTGCTATATATAAAGTCCTGTTGCTGTGTTTTTATTATAGTTTGTATTCAAGGGGATGATAACACTACGAGAAACAAAAACATTGATGTTATAAGACTTACATCCTTTTTCTTTGTTCCCAGACTATGCACATTAAGGACTCATTCACACAGCGTTAAGTTGGGCCGTACGCATCCGTGCACGTTCCCAGAAGGGACAGGTGCTGCGTGCAGCAGCCTGTTCTTCCCTAAGGGGGGACACGGCCGTACGCACACCCGAACCACACATCCGTACTTGGACGCAGCCAGGATGGATGGTTTGTGTATGACAGCGTACGGCCGCGTCCTCCCATAAGGAAGAACAGGCTGCTGCATGCAGCACCTGTCCCTCCCGGGAACGGATGTGTACGGCCTGACTTAACGCTGTGTGAATGAGGCCTAAAACATTTTCACATTCTAAACAAGAAGTAAAGCACTTTAAAACAAACTATCGTGGCCATAATGAATAAACAAAGGAAATTTTTACGAACCCACTATACATTCCAAATAAGACTTATTTTGTGGTCTCTAGACTGAACTCCTCCTTTGCCTTAAGTTGGTGCAAACTCCTCTCCTGATCTGTAAATTGCTTACTGTGATTTAACTGCACATTGTGAGCTTCTCACAATGTGCATTAGACGCTGCAGCAAGTCAGATAGAGGCCACCACATTTCCTAGTTGGTGGATGTGCAGCATCCATTGTGCATCTGTCTCTGGGAGTCATGCCTCCTCTGGCTGTGAAAATCGTGCAATGCCTCATGGGATTTGTAGTTCCACAACAGTTGCAGGGAGTTTGCCCATCCGTTGGTCTCCCTGGTCCGTCTGCTTTATTCATTGGAAATAAATTATTTTTAATCATGGAGATTCAGCATCACATATGGCTGTTACTTAGGGTGGACTGCATTCAAATGCAGCCAGTCTAGGAAGGCCCACTCCTCCAGACTGATCCAGAAATCAAGTTATTAGATGTTTGCATAATTCCTCCCAAGAGAAGCACTGAGGAATTTTCCTCCAGCCATGATCTGCTTGTATTACATAGAATAGCACAGAGACCAGACAAAAGACGTTATAAATTAAACAAAGTTTTAATTCAGCATGTTGATGAAGGATGGGGGGGAGGAGGAACCAGGGCATGCGAAATACACATGTTCCTATGATACCTAAATGGGTGTGGCCTTTGAGGGCTATTTACAACCCCTCCCCCCAAAAAAACAGCTTTCTGCCGCCTGTGACCCATCGTCTTTTCTTCTCTAAATAAGAGTTTAAAAATATTTTGAAAAATGATTCATGTAATGCTGTGTGTACAGATGTCTTACAGACCCAGTCATCTCCTTACTGATTCCACACAATAATGACAAATCATCAATTGTTGTAAAAGTTCTCATATGACCTTATCTTTAGTGGTTACAAAAAAAGAAAATCAAGTAAAGCACTTACCTTGTGACGTAGAATATGCATGACCATTGGAAATAATTCTCTGAATAAAAGATATAATCTCTGGAATATTTTCAGTAACTCTCATGTATATTGTGGGAGGGAGTACCTGAAAAAAAACAACACAGAGTAACCCCTCGTTCACACCTGAACGTTTTGTAGCGCGTTCTACGCTCGAAGAACGCTCTACAAAACGCTCAAAAATATAAATTGCATTGGAGTCAATGGACTCGTTCCCACCTTGCCGTATTTCCGCCCGTCCCGAACGCGCTACAAAACGGCCCACGCCTGAAAAGGTCCCGGGACTACTTTGGGCCGTTTTGTAGGGCGTTTTCCATTGGGATACTGCCAAGTAGCCTTTGTAATCGCGCGACGGCCGCGCAACTTTTTTACCGCGAATCGCGGTAAAAAAACCGCGTGACGGTCGCGCGACAGACGCGCATATTACAATACGCCTAGGTGTGAATGGGGGCTAAATCTAACCACAAGTTTTATGTTAGTTATAGGCGGAGCCCCTGGCTTCCTATGTATCTTGGATACTCCAACAGTGAGATCTCTCTGCCATCATTTCTCTCTTCATGTCTCCAATTTTGAGTGTTCACATCTGCTTTTGTGTCTTCTAGCGCCTCATGTTGCATTCTCCATATTACACAAAATACAGTATAGCAGGGAGAGTGGGAACCCCTCATAGTGACTACAGTTGGTGTTTAGACCCAAAAACTCAAGCACAGATATCTCACTCAGAGTTTTCAAGAATTCGAAGAAACTGTCACGTGCTTTATCATTTCACCATCGGTTCAAAAACTAATATATCAGTGTTGGCTGTACTAACGCTTTATATATCCAGTACATCCAATTCAGATTTCACACAATGGTAAAAAACAGAAAGGGGGCACCACGTATATAGGTTGTCAGGTTGTTTTGTAATGTAAGTTACACATTCATATGCTCTCTTTGCATTTGTTACATTGAATGTAATCGTCTCTGGTGTCAGGGACTTGCACAGGTACCTTTTATCACAAGATACTTAGCCTTCAACACAGTAGATCCCAATATGGGGGAGTGCATAAACAATGGCTGAAGTTCACTTTATGGAGTATTAGTAATAGGGTTAGTGGGAGGGACAGAGTGAGGGCAGACATAGGGTAGCGCAGCACTTTTTGCACTGAAAACTAGCAGTGTCAGTCTCCCAACACCAAAGGCTAACATATGGTTACAGTGAGTATTTTGTGAGAGATACCTCAGCCTAACCATTGGGACAGAGGTTATGGAAGGCCAGCACCCATTCTTCCTCAATGTTTTTTAAAGATTGAGATCCAATATTTTGTAAATTATATTCTGTGGGAGAAGGGTATTGGAGGGGTCCTGTTATTTTTTTCCCACTGAAGATTCCTGGCAAAGTATTTAATGATAAATCTACAAAGTTTCTCTTTTATGCAGGTCTTAGTACACCAAGTAGTGTTTAGTTATATTCAACTGAACTTGAGTTGCAATGTTGATGATGTTTTGCTGCTCATCAAAAACATTGTTTTAAAAGTTTATGGTTACCAGACTTTGCTTTCATAGAAACATCCACAATGTCAAGCAAAAAACATGAGACCATCAAACAAAGGAGATGCAGAATGCAGCAGGGGTGGACCTACCGGCAGTGCAGCTGCCCTCTAGCTTAAGGCTGGGAGGGCCCACTGAGATTTGGTGCCGGGTCCCTCTTGGAAGTGCATGGTGCTTTAAATTTTTATGTGTATTCCGCGGCCAGAGGTTCTAAAACTTGCTGGAGACCACGCAGCAGACTTCTGGGGAAACACAGCTGCACTGCTTAGAGCACTAGCCCACGGATCACACAGCTCCTCCACCGGCCCTCGCATCTCACAGCGCTTTCGTCGCCCGCATATCTGCCCTTGCTGCCCTGGTGAGACCCTGCACATCTGCCCTTGCTGCCCTGGTGAGACCCTGCACATCTGCCCTTGCTGCCCTGGTGAGACCCTGCACATCTGCCCTTGCTGCCCTGGTGAGACCCTGCACATCTGCCCTTGCTGCCCTGGTGAGACCCTGCACATCTGCCCTTGCTGCCCTGGTGAGACCCTGCACATCTGCCCTTGCTGCCCTGGTGAGACCCTGCACATCTGCCCTTGCTGCCCTGGTGAGACCCTGCACATCTGCCCTTGCTGCCCTGGTGAGACCCTGCACATCTGCCCTTGCTGCCCTGGTGAGACCCTGCACATCTGCCCTTGCTGCCCTGGTGAGACCCTGCACATCTGCCCTTGCTGCCCTGGTGAGACCCTGCACATCTGCCCTTGCTGCCCTGGTGAGACCCTGCACATCTGCCCTTGCTGCCCTGGTGAGACCCTGCACATCTGCCCTTGCTGCATTGGTGAGACCCTGCACATCTGCCCTTGCTGCCCTGGTGAGACCCTGCACATCTGCCCTTGCTGCCCTGGTGAGACCCTGCACATCTGCCCTTGCTGCCCTGGTGAGACCCTGCACATCTGCCCTTGCTGCCCTGGTGAGACCCTGCACATCTGCCCTTGCTGCCCTGGTGAGACCCTGCACATCTGCCCTTGCTGCCCTGGTGAGACCCTGCACATCTGCCCTTGCTGCCCTGGTGAGACCCTGCACATCTGCCCTTGCTGCCCTGGTGAGACCCTGCACATCTGCCCTTGCTGCCCTGGTGAGACCCTGCACATCTGCCCTTGCTGCCCTGGTGAGACCCTGCACATCTGCCCTTGCTGCCCTGGTGAGACCCTGCACATCTGCCCTTGCTGCCCTGGTGAGACCCTGCACATCTGCCCTTGCTGCCCTGGTGAGACCCTGCACATCTGCCCTTGCTGCCCTGGTGAGACCCTGCACATCTGCCCTTGCTGCCCTGGTGAGACCCTGCACATCTGCCCTTGCTGCCCTGGTGAGACCCTGCACATCTGCCCTTGCTGCATTGGTGAGACCCTGCACATCTGCCCCTGCTGAGACCCTCCGCATCTGCCCCTGGTGAAATCCTCTGCATCTGCCCCTGGTGAAATCCTCCGCATCTGCCCCTGGTGAAATCCTCCGCATCTGCCCCCTGGTGAAATCCTCCGCATCTGCCCCCTGGTGAAATCCTCCGCATCTGCCCCTGGTGAAATCCTCCGCATCTGCCCCCTGGTGAAATCCTCCGCATCTGCACCCTGGTGAAATCCTCCGCATCTGCACCCTGGTGAAATCCTCCGCATCTGCCCCTGGTGTAATCCTCTGCATCTGCCCCTGCAGAGACCCTCCGAATCTGAGCCTGGTGAGATCCCCTGCATCTGCGCCTGCTGAGACCCTCCGCCCTAGATATCAGGCTAGCACCCTGGAGCAGCACAGAATATGTACCAAATTTATATACTAATCTGCATTGCTGAATAATGTATTGCTGGGATTTGAAGTCCCTCTACAGCCACGGCTATTCTACATTAGAGTGTAAGTTCCTCTGTACAGAGACTGATGTGAGATGCTCAGTGCTCTCTGTAAAGCACTATGGCATATGTCAGAGCTATATAATTGTAAAACAAATAATCGTGTGTGAGCATAGGGGGATATTACAGTGTAAGTTCCTTTGGTACAGAGACTGCCGGGGGGGTTGGGGGGCCAGTGAAAAATGGTATTCCCACCATCCCCTATAGCGGGGAGGGGGGGGATCTTGCACCAGGGCCCTATGTACTTTAGGTCTGCCACTGGAATGTACAGAGTAATATAGTTATACTGTAGTGTCAGGGCCGTGTTTTCAAGTCCAGCAATACAATGGGATAGGAGCTTCAATATCCAAAACACAAATGAAGTAACCTGGCATACACAGTCTGATGTAGCGGAGAATGCAAAGACTGAATAACTGAGGAGGCAAAACAACCATCTAAACAAATGGATGGTCCAACATAGCAGGGTGAACTCTGTAGGTCTGGACTCAGTAGTCTTCCTTTACTTTAAGATAAAAGGATATTCTTCAAGGATCGTGAAATGCACATTTTGGAAAGAGTAATTCTTTCTGGTTCAGAAAAGGAATGAGAAACCATGTCAAATTGGTAAAATTTTCCCTAAACAATCTGTCACAACATATAATGCAGTGTTAACCCTGTGTTCTACCCTGGCGATTTGACAATTCACACCTTTAGCCATGTAATTCAAACAGTCAACACCTTTCTAGATTTCATCATTCATGGTGATTGGGATTATGAAAATAGCACAGGGTGATTTTATAAAGTTATACACCTCCCATCTTGTACGTGGACAATCAACAGCTGCCTTGACACCTAACATGGTGAATGGATTAAGGTGTCCAAGCTACCTTGTTGGCTATAAATGCTGGGGTACATTCCTGATGCAAGATCAATTAATTGTGTCTAACTACTAGTAGATTTTAAACGCAAGTCTGATTGGTTAATTCCAGTTAACTCTCCATGATGACCTGCTTAACTTGAAAAGATTAACTTTGGGAATATAGTTCCTCCCATTATTAAAACATCAAGAGAAAGTGTAGTTATTGGTAAAAACAACTGTACTTGCTAAACAAAGGACAAATTACTCATAACTTAAGCGAGGACAAAATGCTTCTGGAAAGAACAGAATCTAGGATGACACGCAATTATTTATATTAATCCTACAAAACTAAAATACCCCTTGATGTAAAAATATTATTAGCTATTACACTTGAGATTATAGAAAAAGATGTGCAGAAGCACCAGAGAGGGATTGATGTTCCCATTTATGTGTGCATTACAGCGAGCATTGTCATAGAAACTCCAAAGGAATCTATGAAAAACCTAAAGCAATCTAAACAATATTTCACAACTGTACATTTAATTTTAAAAAAAAAGACCCCTGCTGATCTCCCCACTTATATGTGCGCATAATAACGAAAGGGCCAAAGTGTGATAATTGTGGTACCAGGAAAACAATTGTTGTAAATAGAAACCTCACAACCCTTGTTTCATTTTCAAGTGATGATTGCAGAAATGACAGTCATTAATCTTACTAATTGGTACGGGCAACAAAAGTGTGTTCCTACAGCACACTACTCATCCATCAGTCCTGGTAAAAAAAAAAAATCCTTATTTTAACAACTTAGCTTAAAATGAATACATGTGATACAACTTCTGCATCTGTAGGAATCATACACATGTTTTCAGGATAATGAAAGACTTCCGTGGACTGCATCCAGACAAACCTATACTTTAGGTCACCATCAAGCAAGGCAGTGTCATTTACTTAGTGACATTTCATCATGCACTCCCACAGTGAATCTCAGTGGGAGCCTATAAAAGCAGTGACCCATTAGATTCTGGGTAATCACTTTGTGAGAATACCAAAGTACTACCTTACAGATAGTCTTTATCTGCTCAAACAGGTTGGGGTATCTGTGGTTTTTTTGTGACCTGGACTGCTATTTGACCCCTGCATTATCCTGGAGCAACGGTCTGACTTAAACTTACAACCCCAATTGCCCACTACCTGTCTTGTCTCATCATAGCAGCTTTGGTCTCTGACCTTAGCAGTTCAACCATTTATGGTCCTGGGCTGTCTGCCCTGCCTTGTCCTCAGTTTGCAAGCCTTTGCTACTGATCTTGAGCACATTACCGTTTACAGTTTATGACTACGTGCTGTCTTACCTGACCTATCAATGGTTCATAAACTTTTGCTGCTTGAACTTATAATAGCATGTCTCTAGACTATAAACTATATATTGTGCTCCTGCTTCATGATGCATTCATTTTGTTCCACCTTCAGGAGTCACTGCAGTATTTATGTCAGCAATCCAATAGGAATCTGACAAAGTAAAACCAGTTTCTGTTTGTTTTCTCAACATGCTATACATCAGCCACTATTTTAAAAGGTACATATGGGCACTTTTTCTCTGTGACATGGCAACACTTGAACTATAGTTACCTTCAATGCAATCATGTCATGTTTAAACTCCTGTTCATAAGTTCGAGCTAGAGACACAGGCGACACATTAAGCTGTAATGAAAACAAAGACAAAAAGATGATTACAACAATACAAAGATAGAAAACACTTGCATGGTTATTCATTAATCAAGAGAGCAATATGCAAAATGCATAAACATATCGCAATCAATCTGAACACAGCAGAGAAATCCGATTTGCAGTGGTGGGTGCCTTGCTCTTTTCATTACTTTGTTGAATAGGCTTGTCTGCAATTGATATAATGCATTGAACATATTTTAGAGATAATATAAGTCTTATTAAATAAATATTACAAGAAGCAAATTGTTAAGTGCAAAGTATAGTAACCTGTAGCAACCAAAGTTTACCTTATTGAAATCAGACTAGCACAGGATAGACCAAGGGCTGGTTCACACGATGTCCGGACCAGATCTGGTCCGGATCTGGAGCAGATCTGCAGACGCGGTGCTATGCGTTTTTGACGCGTTCCAGTTTTGTTCTTTTTGGTGGGAGTGGGGCTGTCAGTATGTTAGCTGCGGTGCGTTTTCGGCACGTTTTCGTTGTGTTTCGCGTTCGTGTGTCTCCAGGACCATATTCGGACCGGACAAAATGTGACATGCAGCATTTTCTCTGTCCGGACCGGACTGCGCACGTGAGAACTGCAGCCCATAAAACACATAGGGATACATTGGGATGCATTTTGGCTGCAGGAGCGCACGGATCTGAACCTGGACTGAATCCGGACGTCGTGTGAACAAGCCCTCCAACTAGCACTAGCTCCATTTACATTTTACTGAAATAGCTTGCTTGTCTTCCCTTTTAAAATTATATAATTTTAATAGATAATATTACAATTTAAAAAAAAGAGATTCACTATTAATTGCAAAAGTAATGGAACTAAATATTGTTTTTTTCTGATCAAAAAGACATTCAATCATTAATGTTCAAGCAATACGATTAAATCCAGGATATCCAAGTGTATGCATGGTGGTAGACATAGTGGTAAACATGGTTAGCATGGTGCTGGGTCTACAGTAGTAGTATAGTAGGTCACATACATGGGCTGACTAGGTTACACTAGTGAATAGGCTACACTAAGAAGGCAGTGCCACCATGATGCACGTGACAAATGCACACAGTGGTTACACTACATCGAAATGTCGGCATCAACAACCTATAATAAGTAGGGTAATCTTAGGGGGCAGATAAGCTCTAACCCTTTGATGTTCTGTAATCTCAGTTTGTATATCCAAAAATCGATAAATTATCTTATCAATCAATAAAAACAATGTCCACACGATGATGCATGGAAAAAATACAAATGTGCAGTGACCCAAAAGAAAATGGCTCAACTGTGAGTCCATATTTTTGTGGACATCTAATCCACTGCACCTCAGCTCTACTGGTTTTCCTGGTGTCTTTGTCCCAATGTATTGTAAGTAGAAACAATCATATTTGTTAACCAGTCTCAATCTCTGAACTTTTCTGGCACTAATGCTATGTGACATTCTGGGCCCCAATGTAGACAATAACCTCCTCCTGTAAAACTGGTGCTGTGCGGCACATAATCTCATTCCTGGACAATGCTTTCGTCCCCGGATACCACCACCATTCTCTGACACGACACCCTACTCTCCTCTTCCGCCTTAGGTATGTGGAACATGATCTCAGTCCTGGACAATGCTTTTACCACCCACTTCCTCCTCATACACCACCTCCATTCTCTACTGACACCCTGCTTTCCTCTTCTTCCTCATGTGTGTGGCACACAATCATAGTGCTAGACAATGCTTTCCTCCTTGCATAATACCCACTTCCTCTTCAGACACCACCTCCATCCTCTACTGGCCCCCCTGCTTTACTCTTCCTCCTCCTCAAGTCAATGATCTTCTCCTCTGAAAAACATCTCAAATAACCCACTTCCCTTACCATCAGCCAATGATCTCTTCCTTTGACAACCACCTTAAATGGCACTAATTATTTGACAAACACGCACCCAGTTCCTAGATAATGCTCTCTTTCTCTGACAGATCTCACCCTCAGACAATACACTTTTCCTCTAACCACCACCTCAGATAATAAAAGTGTCACAGAATATTTTACTGAATATTTATATTTTGCACACACACACAAACTATTTTTACTGCAGCAGTAACTACATTGCAGCAATCATGGTACTAGATTTTGTGTGTAAATCATATCTACCCGATTTGTTTAATGCTGAGGCACGCTTTTCCCCATTTCCATTAATCCCGCCATTATATGTTCAAGGGACAGGCACATATCTGCTAATCTGCCAAAAGGAAGATCAATGTTTTCTCAAATGGCCAAGAATATACAATTACTTGGTACTAGTCTTTGAACTGCAGTATCACCTTGGGTTTATCACCCTCAAACTAGGTTTTAAAAATATAGACAATTTATCATAAGGATGTATATACAGTATAATTCTGTATATAATGTAAAGCATTTGTGCTTTGCTGCTGTGATTTTTTTTTTAAACCTTCATGAGTCTATCACCTGAAATGGTGAGTATTCCTAAAGCTCAGAAGTTTTGGTTTGATCTTGGTTTCATCTTGGAGACTGTGCTATTATTGCTCTGACACAAGATTGGATGTCTCCAAGTGCCTGCTTACATTTTATATGCAATTGAAATTTTTAGCTACAAGCTGTGAATGAATATTCTGTGCCGTTGTTTCAGCTAGCCTACCGATACCTGGCATCTTCTATGCTGAAGATTTGCAGACTAAGCATGTTCAGTTCTAAACATAAGACTCCTTTATACCTTCATATAATCAATAATTGTTATAGGCTTAAATCATTGAGCCAATACTGTAGTTGTCTTTTTTGTTTATCTGCTAAAAACAAAATGAGAGCGCTGTGGCTAGTAAAGGCTCTGGCATTTGACAGCTCAATGGCAGGGAATGAGGTTTAGCACTACCAGGGAGCAGAGTTTAATCTCTTCTTGCTGAGAACACAATGCCCTGTATACAGACCAGGTCTAGAATAGATTTGAAAGCAGGCTCAGTTACATGCAACAATGATAAGTTGTACAGTTTTAAGGGCATGACATGTTCACTTAAATAATATTTTTCTTAAAAATTGAAAACAACAACAACAACAACATTCACAAATATATGCAAAACAATTTTGTAGATAAAAATATTTAAAGTAAGGCCATTATTTGTTTGTGCGCAGTTTGTAGACAGGGGAACACAATAATTCACATAATAATATTGTGGTGGAGGGGAGACCACTGGCATAAGAGCCTCCATATTGGGGTGCTCAGTAGGAAACAATCTGTCTGTAAGCTTTCAGCCGAGTTTGGTGAACCTAAAGCAAGCTGTGTATTGTTTTTTTAGACATATGAGCAGATTGCTTATCACAACAAGAAACTCCCCATTGACTTGCTTTGCATTATGTTCTGACCTGTCATAACCTGTGTACATGGCAATCAAAGTTACCATAGGGTTCATTGAACCTCAAAAGTGGTAGAAGCTCAAAATGCTTGAGGTAAAACATCTGGATGCTGATAGGGCTCTGCGCTCCCTGAATACCACTGAACACAATCCCTAAATGTAACTCATCATTACAGGACCCTGGGGCTGTGATATGCTATTCTAAGCTCTACAATCAACACTTACTTCTCCAGTCTTCAGGCAATATTTGTGTATGATGTGCCTGCATCTGAGAAGATTCCCAGGAGAAATATATGGGAAATATTGTGTCTAAAACATAATACAGGAACAGCGGCTCCAGCAAGGCTAGAACCAAGCAACTCCTAAACATCAAGTCTAAAGAAGAGTACTGAGCCAAATGTCTCGGTACACATCATGGAGATGCCCCGACTTTGCAGTATGGATGCCTGATTATTGCAGTACGGGGCATGAACACTGCTGTATAGCCATGGACATCAATGGAGATGTACTGCTTCCTTGTTGCCCTCAACCCCTCCAAAACAAAACACACTCACACTGGGCAAAAGATGCAATTATGGTGTGAAAGCTGCCAAAAACACAAGGATATCGGATGCCTTTCTGCCTCCAGTGCCCAAGTCAACACAACCCAGAACGACCCAGAGGAAAGGACACCCTGCCTCCCCAAATTCAAGTCACTGCTTCCCTAATTCTCCTCCAGCCAACATGTTTGTCTGGAATAGCCATTAAAAAGGAGACCTGCAGTTACCAGAAGCATTACAAACAGAAAGTAAACAAAGTGCACACAAACACGGATGTATTTTTTGTACCATAAGCAGTCTTTCAGAGCACCCCAGGAGCCTAGAAACCTGGGGTGTTCTATAATGCAAACATCAAATTCAGGTCTAAAGCTCTTGCTCCCCACACCCTACTCTTAGTCCATAAACATGATGATCAGCCTCTCTGATCAATTGATGTGCTGGAGTTGGGAGGAGTAGGCCATTTTTTCATAAGATCACTCTGAGACCCTTTGGATGTACTAGAAGGCTAACCTGAAGATACCTACAGATGCTTGCACATTCCTTAGTTTAAGTTTAACTTATGGTGAACACTGCTAACTGAAATACATTATGTAAAACACACTGAGGACCATAGGCTTCAATGGGATACACTTCATGGTAGAGCATTACTTGAATTATTTAGTCTTTGTAGAAAAAGTAAAACAGATTACACAAACTCAAAAAAGACCAACCAATTAGATTATGGCTGAAACTTATCTCAGGTTATGAAAAACAGGTAAAACAAACTGCAAAACCGATGTTTCATTACACACAGTTGTTTAGACCCATGATACCCAGGTGCTGGGACAAATCTTTCCCTCATATAGATGTCTCCATATCTTGCTTGGAACCTCAGTAGAAGTTGATGGAATGAGAATATTGTTGGGAAATATTTATGTAAACAAGCCATATATATACCCACACCTGCCAGATGGATTTATACACTCACAGGACTACATACTTAACATTACTCATTTAAATCTGGCAGCAACTCAAGAAGAATGCTGTGGTAAGTGCAAATGATTAATAATGGCTTTGTGTTGAGTATCTGCAAGAATGCCAATATGGGAGCTGCCAC